AAATTGCAGTCGTTCTTTTATTTTCTCAAACCTTTATTGTAATTACCAGTGCTACTCCTTAACTACTATATGTACTCTGGACAAATCTGCTGGATATCCTCAAATGTTTTGGAAAAGATTTCAACTGAGATTCTTCACCCCATTTGCTGTTTATTTTTTAACTCCACTTGAGTAATCTCAAGATCTGTATTTTTAGCCAATACAATAACAGCATAGGTTAAAATTGATCGAAAGCTCTTTACTTAAATCCACTATATAATGTTAGGTTTATATTAATTCTATTTTTATTCTCATATATTAATAGCTTCAATTTTTTTTTAAAAATTCGTTTTGGACAGTTAAGATTTACTAAAAACAGTGAAAGGCTATGCTTTTTGATAAAAAAATTTAATTCATGGCTGCTGCAATCTTCCGCTTAAATTGGAACGAAGGAACAAAGTGATTTATGGTTTATAGATTATGACGTAAACGATATAATCGGAGCTATAAAAGTTACCACACTATAGGGGGCATTCTGATTTTTGAATAAAAATAATATAACGCACTATATATGTTTCCTATTTATAAAGTTACTTTTTTAAGAATTAACAATTAACAAATTACTGGTTTATAAAAAATAAACAAACTTTTTTTATCCAAAAAGTGGAAAACATCAAAATCCAATGTTCGGGACTTCAAGCCCTTAATAGCGACCTCTTAGGAATGAATTACGTTTATGAATGAAGAATGAATAGTTTATAGATGATTTTTATAAATGACCGATAGAGAAGATTCCATTCAAATATTCAAGTGCAGATAGACACAATATTTAGTAAGCAAAGTTTGAAGAAGAGATAGAAGGAAAGGAATAAAATGAACTTTATAAATGACTGATAGAAAAGATTCCATTCAAATATTCAGGGACAAATATTTAGTAGTGCCTCCTTGTCTGAAGCAAGGAGATAAGATGTTAATCTGTAGGATATCCAGAAAGTCATAATAATATGATATGAAATTAGAGCCATAATGATATGAAATGAAGAAAATAACAGCAATTATTTGTCTTTTGGAAAAGATTTCAATGTTCAAATTTTAATTAGAATTAAGCCTTTGTGTGTTGATGAAAAAGTAATAATAATGTTTCCAGCCTTGTCACTGGAAACATTGAGTAAGTAATCATAAATGAGAGTTACAATATCTTCCCACTGCCTTCATTAAAGCATTTTATTTATTTAACTCGCAAATGTAATTCAATTAACCATACAAAAAACTTTCGTGCTTTTTAACTTAATCAAGAATAAATCGAGGAAAATTATATCAAAAATAACGAATGCTATATTGCGGAATATATTTTTCAAAAGGGCAATGATCGAAGTTGGGCATATTTCACACATTAAGTAATATGTAAATAAACAAAAATGTAGCAATTTAAGCAAACAAGAAGCAAGAATTTTTTTGATGTTTATTTTTTATAAATAAAATTAATAATTTATTTATAAAATATATAAATGAGTTTATATATCAAGTATACATTTGATATCATCATAAAATATTGAATATTATTTACCAATAATTATTCATTTCAGTTCGATATAAATCAAATAGCAGTAAAAAAAAGCTATCCTAAAAGTTTTTTACAGATAAAAGTATTTTCATATGCATAAAACAGTTTATGCCAATGGAAACGACCACAAAAGAATTTGATTAACGTACGTTACTTAAGCTACAGTGGAAACATGATATTAAGTTTAAAAGAATTGAAGGAATTCCAAATATTATAATGATGTTAAAAAGCTAAATCAATATTGCTATCACTCCATTTAATAGCTAGAGTTAACTTTAGAACACATAATTAAAAAATCTTCTGGAAAGTTTATGTTTTCTACTGATTTTTGTTCATAATTAATACTAAAAGAATTTTTCTATCAGTAGTACTGAATAATTCTATTTGATAGATCTTAATTTCTGAGAGAATGAGAGAAAAAGCATTAAACATTTACTATCAGTTTATTAATCATTTTCTATATATCAGATATAATTACTCGCGGCAACCTAAAAGTATGCAACAAATATTGCAAACTGCATTGTAGCACCATCTAGTATTTAATAGCAAACAAATTAAAATTACTTATCCACATGCGCTAGATACGTCAGTTGGAAAATGAAAATGCCAACACAGTTGTTTTTGTAATCGTGAGAAAGTATCTGACATTTCTTCACATAAACAAAAACATTTTGTTTACCTTTGAAGATACGTTTTGCACGCATTTGTTTGTGTACATAGAATAGAGTGAATGGAGTAGAAGAAGAAAAAAAATGAATTTTGTATTTTTGCATTTCGTTCCACTCTGTAGGGTGGCTAGGCATTCCGATGCATCTTGTAGTTGCGAATACATGTGGCACTAGCAGTTGTGGCACCACTTGCCACTTACCCTACGGAAAATTTTCTGTATGTATGAATGAAGTGGAAAACGAAGGGATGATTTCTGTTTTCAGTTTTTAAATGAAAATTTATTGTGTGTTAGGCATTTGCGCCATTTAGAAGGTTTCTCTGAAAGGTGTCCGAGTCCAGTTGCTAGTGAGTGGAAAAGTGGAATAAAGAAAAATTGTGCATTTATAAATTAAAATTTAAGTCTGTGAAAATAATAAATTCTAACTTAAACTCAGCGAATAACAATCTAACGAATAATTAAAAAAAAAATACTATCAAATGTATTGAAAAAAAAAAGATAGATTAATAGCGAATTTTTACAACGAATTTAAAAAAATCTCGATACTGCCACAAACCTTCATTCAGGTAATTTGGATTTTCACAAATTCTTTATAAAAATTTATCAATGTTTTTTGGATTACAAGTATCTGATAAGTGAACATATGGGTATTATTTTATTATATATGTATTTTAACAGCAAAATTATCAGCATATAGTATATTTCCTTTGTATTATATCAAAATTAATTAAAAACTGTTTATGCTATTTACATATTCCCTGCTTATAGTCTCAGTTTTGTGGTCTAAAACTAGACTTGGAGATGATATGATCCAATTATTGAGAAATTATTTAATGGGAATACATAGATAATGTATGAAACTTGAGTAACTATTAAAATTTCAATACACATTTTATTTTTATATACATATTAGCACGTAATTGCTGTGGTAACAAAAGTAAATACATATGAAAGAAGAAGAAGTTTAGAAAATGTGTAAAGATATATATTTGGTTTCTTATGTGATTACTATATATTGTGAAAATTGAAAACAATTGAAAAAAATTGAAAATATACTATAATTATCACTTATACTGAAGATACAAAAGTCAAAAAGGAATAATTTTTGAATCCTTTATCATCCAATGTCAAAAATGTAAAGTACGTAGTGCAATTAATCAAACTAAGGTACAAATCATTCCAAAGATTACAATGACGTTTAAAACACCAGGTCATTATTGCTATCAGTCCATTTAAAAATAGCTAAAAAAACATAATTCAAAAATGTTCAGGTTAGTTTTCTACCTGTATAGTCGCCACACATTTATAATTATTGTTAATATGAGAGTCACTAACAGAAACAGTGTTAAGCCTGGGCTTCAATGTGGATATTTGTTGAGTGTTTACCTGACCTTCTTAACCACTTCTGACTATACTTATAATTTACCGAAACAATCTTTAGTATAATCTATCTTGTACATAAATTATAACATATTACAACAATATACTAGAAACTCCTCTACCTGGATAATATAATATTCAATTATATTATATTATAATTATATAATATTATTGCTATAAAATTAGAATATCTTTTCTTAATAAGATTATAGAGTTATTATTAACATATATAGCAATGTTTTATATGTATGCAACATAATTAAAATAAATTATTATTATAGTTATTAAGAATATAACAGTATTATAATAAAATAATCTAATCCTATTATTGTTAATTTTTTCTTGCCAAGAGCGACACCACTTTATGATGAGAAGAATCTATTTAAAAGTTGGACGAATTCGAATAGCAAAAAAAAGACAAGGATGAAGACAATTTTGTTAATTTATTAAAATTTGGCTGACTATATGACGATGTTTCGAGTATTGCCAAGTACTCTTCATCAGTGGTCTTAGAAAATATTCGAATTTCTTAATAAGTTTATAGTCCGTATATAATTTGTTTGGACTGCAAGTGCCAGTCTTAAAACGCGTGTCAGTCAAATTAGAAACGGGGACTAATCGTGTTTCTCCATCTCTCCTACGCAACCACAAATAATTCATAACATTTTAATAACAAGTTACATCGAGTTTGTGCATTCTTTTTGATATTTTAAAGTAGAAATCTTCTTTGTTTTGGGAGATCTATGTAGTGCTGTAGTGAATATTTCTGCCTAGGATAGTAAATTTACTCATCGGTCGCAACATGATACATATGTTAATGGCAGATCTCAGCACTGTCGCTATGGTTCTTCTTAAACTTAGATTAGCATTTGTTTTAGTTAACTTATTTTCAGCAAAATTAAGTCCATATATAGCAGGTCATTTCCTGCCCCCACCTTATTTTTTTGTTAAGATCTTTAAAGGTCTTTGACAAAGGTTCTACCAACACAAACCAAAAATTTATCAAAAAAAAAAAAAAATAATGCTTCCCGAAGCCTAACAGAGATACTGCCAGTCAAACAATATTTTTTATCCTATCTTGGTGGCTCATAAAAGAGCAAAAAACTGGTCACCAGTAATGTATTCTGAAAAACCTGTTAGGATTATAGTGCAAAATAAACTGTGAATCATTTCCTAAAGTACTGACTGACTGTCTTCATAAAAACTATCGTATTTGTGAATTTCCTTAAGGAAACGACAGAATGGTCAGTCACCATTTGTAAGAACATCTGCAGAAGTTGTCAAAACAATTACGGAAAAAACTGTGATTATCTTGTTAAGACATTGACCGGCTATCTCCAAAAAAAAACTCTACCTTATTTGTAAGTTCACTCTTTGAAGAAACGGCATAGCTGAACGTATTAGACGTCATTGAAACTTGTATATAATACTAATTACTTTATTAGGAATGAGTTAGGGGTAAGTACCTTATAGTAACATATAGTAATAAGTCCCCAGCCTAGGTAAATCTTTTATATATATGAAAAATGACCCTTAATTTATTATTATTATAACTATACTATAATACCATTAGGTAATTCTAGCATTATATGCCACTAAATACCACTAAATATTTACAGTATTTAGTAAACAATAATGTACTAACCCTTGCTCACTACAATGTTAGCAGTACATAATGCTATTGAATCACATAACCTCTGAGTTAATATTCTGTACGAAATACTGTGACGTTACTAAATCTTTAACACGACAATATTATCTTATATAGCATCCGTACCTTGAGCCGAATGAGCATTACCAAAATATACATACATATATGAGACATATATTATTACATATATTATTGCTCTGGGACACGGTTATCCACATATATAAAATACCAAAAGTCTGCTAAAACTAATCTCAATATAGCACATTTGTATGCCTAAAATTCAAATTCAGAAACCGATTTGCTGTTTATCAAATAAAAACTATTAAAATAACTATTTACGATTGATAAGATATTTATATTTCCAGTTTAATTTATTTATATTTTTTCTATTTTTATACACGACAAAAGTGCAATGTACTTCAATAGTAAACATAATGTGTCAACAGACAGAAAACAAGTTAGGTATTTACATTTTATTACTCACATAAAATGTACGAGTATCTAACGACTGTGACTGCGATATGAAGTATCTGAACTAAAATTGTTTTACGCTAAAGTTGCATTTTTGCAAAAAATACAATATTTTTATCTCAAACTTACTTGGTATATTCTGTGCAATACTCTATTCTGTTCTCCAACTGTTCTATATAAACTCAATCAATTTTATCAGTAATTTTCACCATTCGAAGTAATTAAATGAAACATATCTTTGTGATCGTTTCATTTATTATAACAATAATAATATATAATATATGCCTATATTAATATATTATCTGTTTAATTATTACTATTCAAATCGATTTTAGTAAAATATACATTTAAAAGTATACTCAGAATAAATCCCTATTGGATTCTCTCTTCAATACTTCGATTATTTTTTAATAGAATTTTCGTTTCTTGCATAAACTAACCTCTATAGGTATGCTACCAGGGAAGTAACAAAGACTGTATCAAGGGATTTAGAGAGAAAGGATATACTAAGCACAATTTAATCTAATTTGTTTTGCAGTTTACTGTATTAATTATAATTAGAAGGAGAGGATTACGCCAAATATATTTATTTCTGTACACATCTATAGGTATATATATATATATATGTAGAAAGTTATATATTTGTGTTGTTTTCAAGAGTCTTATTTAAACGTCTTATTAAAACTAAAATCAAAGTACAAAACTATACCAGACTTTAAAGATTTTTATGACTTTTCATATATTATAAAAGAGGGATATTTGACCCACAATCCCCCTTTCTCTCCCATACTTATTGAATCAGCACTCATACTGATTTAAATACAGCAAGACCTTGTCAAATAAATTTATGTTTACTTCAAGATATGTAAGACCTTAAGATATACCTTAATATATGACTTAATATAAGACATTAATATTTACCTTAATATAATAAATTAATATAATAAATCATTTATAATTGTCATATTGTTCTTCAAATCTTATAATTCTAATGTAGTTCGATTAAAATTACTAATAAAAATCTAATTGTCATATTATATGAAGTGTTTTATGGTGTTAATATATTATGACTTCATAAATTAAAATAAAGTGTTGAACAATAAGCTGCAAAGCGTGAATTGTAGAATTAGAAATAGTAAATTATAATAATATAAGGAGTCAAGTTACGAAATTTATTTTGTGAATGCGACAATAAAGATATTTGAAACCGTAGAGGTCTCTGAATTAAAAAGTTTTCTAATCTTAATATATAAACAATGCTAAACTTAGTTATATGTGTGTGTGATGTTTGACACAGCCCAGCCCCACTACATTAAATAAACTACAATTATATATAAATATAGATCTAGGAGAAGTGATGAAAATCCAGTGTTATGTAGGAAATTCGTATATTCCCTAAGATATGAAAGTTAAAGGCAATTACGAATATATAATGAATAGATCATTGCAGTTCTTCATTGCTGTGAACACACAATCAGAGCTTTAGCAAAGCTAAATTTATGAAAGACTAGCAATTCTTTTATCATCATTGGCAGATATGCTTGAGTTATGAAGTGTGTTATCATAAAAAACAATTTACTTTAGTAAATGTTATAAACATTCTTAGTCGTGAATTAAACATCTTTCAAAAATCAGATCCTTCATACCTTCAGATCCTTCAATCAGTTACCTTCATAAGTAAGTTAAAGTGGAGGAAACAGTGACTCTAGTATGAAAAGACAATAATAATGTATAGTTTAGTACTTCATTCAGATGAATAACATAAATTTTCGGCTCCTTTTATGAAAAAGGTGATTAACTAATATATAAGCAACTTATGGCTTCAGACTTGAGTACTTTAAATCTGAGCCTGAAGAGGGCAGAATAAACAGACAGAGTAGACATAACCCATTGAAAGGTTTAATTGTGGTATACCGACACAGTTTAACCTCCATTTGCATAATAACTGTAAAATCTGAGCCTGAAGAGGGCAGAATAAACAGACAAAGTAGACATAACCTATTGAAAGGTTTAATTGTGGTATACCGACACAGTTTAACCTCCATTTGCATATAGTAACTATAGAAGTTTTGAGTAAAAATATTAGATATAATTTCATATATTGGCTACTTATTCAAGAACTAAACGAACGATTTTAATTAAGTTTTCATCGAACAAAAGAATGAGTACATGCTATTCTTGAAACCATTAGGTGACCCTAATATAACAAGTCACATGCAATTTGTTGTTCATTTGGATAATATGAAAACTCAATAATCGATTGTCATCGCAAATGAAATACCAGAACTATTTATAATTCATTTTCAAAGAATATTGTTTCCACAAACATTGGATAATAGTTCAAATAATAATAAAAATTTGTTGTTCAAATAGAATTATTAAAATACTGACGCCTTAACGCGTCACCTTAGACTACTGAAATGAAAAATTAATTTTATTTATATTTAATTACAGTAAAAGCATTTTTCAGCACAATGTTCTACTGTAAGTGTAGCGAAATGTTTAGGGGTAGAAGACGTTTCTGAAGAAAGGGACTGGGACTGCTTTCTGAAGAAAGGGACTGCTTTAATAAATCTTTGATGAGTATAAACAGGATAAAATTTAACAATTTACAATGAGAAAATAAAGATTTCTTAATCAAAGTTTCGATGGCAAAAATTTTCCCTGTTATGGAATACCTTATTAATAAATAAATACCTGCTTTATTAAAAAATTCATCAGTATCCAATTATTTGTTTTAGTAAAACTTTTTATTATTTATTATTTATGTATTATTATTATTTATGTAAATATGCTAAATATGGATTCACAATAAATCCATGTTTTTGATTTAGTTCAATAGATTAACTCAAAAACTGATAGACTAGTTCGTATATTAATAGACAACACTCATACGTATCGACGCAGAAGAAGATATGGGAATGGACAGTTACACAAATAGACAAATGGACATTTCTAAATCGATACATATTGTCATTTTTGTATTAAGGAATTTTTGTACGTATATATGGTTAAAATGTAACATATGTACATACATCAGATGTTTGCTTAGGACCATGTTATACAGACAGTGAGTCATGGTCACGTCAAATTTCAAATTGTTACTTTAATTTAAGTTACTTTAAATAAATTAAAAAATTGAGAAAGCAGAAAAATAGAAATTTCGATTTAAATTTGATCACGTTGACAAAGCTTTTTGTACCTCGTCACGTTGGTCAAAACAGTATTCGTTCAGTTCAGTAATTAATGTCAGAACTTGCTCATATTAGTAACATACATACTACATATACATATTGTACAACTTTAACAGCGCACAGAACAAACTTGTGTCATGTGGAATTTCTGTTACCGGTACAGAATAAGGTCTCTTCTCCATATTTATTTCTGGACTTTGTTCACAAAATTTTAAAGGGCTTTGTATGATCAAAAGTGAATTTGGTACATCAGGACTCTTTAGGCTGCAGTGCCGTCTGATGAGCAAATTCCAGTCGCTACTTTTGATAATAATAATAATAAGCTTATGTTATGTATAAGTATGTACATATGTGGATATACTTACTATACTTATATTCACACTAAACACACTTTTAAATTTAGTATATGTAAGTAGGAAATTGACAATTGTGTTGGCTCTATGGCACTCTAACATGACTTTTGGTCATGACCAAAAAGAGTATAAAATTGCCGTAAACATTCGTCATTTGACTGAGTGCATAACATGCTCCATATTACATTTGAAATTACAATTACAATTCCATATTATTCACCATAGATAAAATGGTGAATTATTTTTATTTTTTTACTTTAACTTAAGATTCTCTAATAAATACAAAAACAAGTAATCATTTGCCAAAAAATAACAGAACTTCTCGCATTTCGTTACTCTACATTACAAATACAAAGAGTATGCACGTGTACCAAATAGACTGCAAAATTATTCCCAAGTAAAATATAATAAAAATTATAAAAAAATTAAATAAATAAGTGTAAAATTAATTATAATTTAATTACTTCCAAGCACACATCTATGTGTATATTATATAAATAAATTAAATACAACTTACATATTAAAAAACTGTGCAAATTTTTTTTTCTTATAACACAACAAACCGAAAACAAAACGAATGCACTTCAAAGCCTGTTTAAAGAAAAGCAACTAAATGGTAGGAGAGGAATTTAATTAAAATCAAGTTATGCTTTAAGTCCAAAGTTCAATTCAACACACATAACGAACCATTCAATGAACTGAATAGGAATTCATTCAAATACACCACACAACTCTAAGAAACCACAGTAGAAATAATAAAAACAAAAACAAAAACAAAAAATACTTAAACTGTTGTGTGTGAGGCATTGCATGCTTTTGCTTTTCGCCTACAATAAAACAAACAAGTTTTTTCTTACAGAGTAAACAGAAAACGACACTGGAATAGCAAGCCCCCATGACACTTTTCTTTCACTGTCTTATTTTTATTTTGTTTACAAATTTTTACTTTTGTTTTTATTTATATTTTTATTTAACATCTTTTACTTGTACTTATTACTTTTCGTTGTTGTGTTGTGTTGTGTTGTGTTGTATTGTAAAGCAGCGCAGCGCAGCTCATCAGCATACATTGTGCTTTACCCATTGGCAGCTGTGCTGTAGAATTTTGGAGGCTTGTTTGTGCATATAAAAATATAGTAAATTACAACTACAACACATGTGCAGAATTTATAAGTAAAATCTGCAAAACAGTGCTGGTTGTTTTATTTTTTTTTTGTAGTCATTATTTATTGCAGTAAATTTTGCTTTTTGTTGTTTTTATTTTTTTTTTGTTGATGCAAAAACAACTAAAAATAGTTTTGAGTTGAGAAGAAGAAATATTTTGACTTGTGAAATTTTTATATGTAAAAAATGTATAAATGTAAATTTATTTCTAGGATTATTATCCTAGAATATTATTCTTATAATATCTTAGTTTTATATTTGTTACTGGGCTTAGGTCGTTTAAGCCCAGTAACGATTTGGGCTCTTGATTCGAATTATTAGAAATTATTACAGAAATATTTTAATTTTTGAATTAAAATTAAAAAATATTGTATGTATCTTATTTCCATATTAAGTCTAGTACTAGCATATATTTCGAACAGAAAATTGATATAAAATATTTAAAAAAAATTTCCATAAGTCAGATATATTTCAAATATTTTATATAGAGTTCTGTCAATTTTCTTTAATGTGTGTTAGTACTAAACCTAATATGAACATAATAGATATTACATTAAATTTAAAAAAAAGAAAGAAATAATTATATCAAAATATTTTATTTAATATTATTATTATTATTTATTAGATTTATATTATTTTTTTATTAAATTCAAATCAATTTAATTAAAGTTAAATTTAATTAAAATTAAATTTATTATTTATTTATTAAATTAATAATAGTATTACAGTAAATAAATATTATTCCCTTAATACTATCTAAAAATCTTTAAAAATAATCTTTCACACGCCTTACATCTTTACTAAAATTAATTATGCATCTTAATATTAAAAGAAATAATTGTTTTTGTTTTTTTGTTTAATTCCTCTGGAGATTTTCATATCGCAACTATGTATGTATTATGTTTGCCTAGAAAATATGAAATATTACGAACAAAAAAAAAACAAAAAAAAACAAAAATTGTAATGCAGAAAAAACAAAATCTTTGCCCACTGCCTTGTCTGCAACAAGTTCCTCCGATCAGTTCTCTTTCGACTGCTGAGCGAGTGTTGTGTTTGTGGTTTGTGTTTTGTCTTAAGTATTTTTTGTGCTGTAACGGTTCATAATTTTCAATTTACATAAAAAAGTGAAGGTGATTTGTAAGAAGATATATATAACAAAAAAATATGATTACATATTTGTTATGATATAAAAAAATATGTTAAAAGTTTAAAAATTTATTAAATAACCAAACAGGTATTCTTTTAAAACAAAAATATTATTTATATTTTATTTTCCAAAATATTTTTGAATGCTATGTTGCAATACTTCCCAATCTATAATTAATTAAAAATAAATTTATTAGTGCACAAAAAATTGGTTAGGCACTATTAACGCTTTTACACGAAGCATTCATCATGTCATTTATGCAAAATCGCAAATAGCCATGTTGCTTGCATGGCTATTTGCCGTATATATCATGTCCGTATATAAAGATATATATATATATCTATATACATTTTTATTGATTTATATTCCCATACAATATGAATCTCTTCTGTAAACAATAAAGAAAACAGTTATATCAAATTGTATATTATACAATATTATCACATGACAAGTATTTGGAGACTATTTAAAAACAAATTGGTACATACAGCGGTCGAAAAAGTATTCGTCATTAACTAAATTTTTATAAAATGCTGTAATAACAACAAAATGAAACAAAAAAATTAAAAAAAAAATAATACAGTTTTCAACGTTTGTATACTGTTTATTTGTTGTAATTGTGTTTACTCCACAACTTTAAAAATAAAATAATAAAAAAAAACAATTATATTGCGAAACACCAAAAATAAAGCAAAAAAGTATTCGTCATTTATGCAACAGACTGCAATTTTAGTAACAACAACTAAAATTTAATATATTGTCAGACGTCATTTACGTTTTAGTACCTCTCTTAAAAGCTTTGGCATGATTTGACTAATTTTGCTATCATAGCTGGATCTATATTAGTCCATTTGTCCATTAAAACCTATTGCATCAGTTGCTTGTTTGAAAAGCTGCGTGTATTCCTTTCATTAACTTTTGAAAAGATTTGTGCTTTTTATTATTGAATCTGTGGTCTAATATTTTGCCTTTGGTGGACCTTACTCACACAAATCAATGGTACTCTATGGATATGAGCTATCCAATATTACTTTTTAATTTAACTTCATTGCGCGATCACGAGTTTATTTTAATATTTTGATTCTATGTTTCTATATGTTTTCGATATTTACTTAGTAGTTATTAAAAAGAAATAAAACTACGTAATGTAGTTCAATACTACAATTTATAGAAAATATTGGACTTGGAGAAATACTTGAAGTCCTCAAGTAGTCTTCAAGTAGGAGGACTAGGAGGCACAATCTCCTAGTCGTAGCGCAAATTGACCAAACATAACAATATCAGATGATTTGATTATTACATGCATATGATATAAAATAGGTAATATATGCATCTAAAATAAAAGTTAAATGATTGCCATAGAATTCGATATCCTTCAATTGTTTTTACAGCGTTTATAACAAATGTGATTTTAATTTGTTAGATTATATTTAGATCAATTTTTGATATTTGCTCGGATTTTCGAATTCATACCTTTTATTTTATATATTTATTATATATTTATATATTACTTACATTCAGTCTTAAGTGTATCGAACGTAAGAGTACTTACATATAAATTTGATATTAAAGAATGCGACAACCTTTTTTTATATCGTACTTTGCTAGATGTCATACATTTCTTTTTCTTTTTGTACTTCTTTATGATATCGACAATTATAAGCCTGACACATTAGCTTATGCTGGTAAAAATCTATATCTGTTCTAGAAATAATTTTCGTATTGAATCCATATGGGAATTTTTTTCAAAATATTAGCTGTAGGTCTCATACCATTTGTTTATATTAAAATATTTGTCTTATACCTACAGCTGTATTGCTTTCCTATAGTATTTGCAATGTTTTTGTTTTCCAAAAAGCAGATTATGACACCGTTTTTCAGGCTATAAAATATTAAGAAAAAAAAAAATTAATGGTCGATTATTTTGACTAATTGAAAGCACGCTATCAATAAAACACAATTGACCAGGACACGCATAGTCTACTAACCTTATTTTGGATTTATTTTTAATACTTTATTGTTATACTTAAATGAGATATATAAATAAAAAAAAAAAAGAAAAGCAACAAACAGACAAACAGGTTCTTTGTGTCCCCACACGTAGTCAGAGAAAGGGTTTGAGAATGAAGTCGCCCGAAAGGGATCCAATTACAATATTAATACATATGTATGTATATTCAATTTTAGTACATCATAACTGTCTTATAAAATAAAAATGGTTTTTAAATGACTGAAATTATCTGAAAGCCTTCTCCGAATTAAATCTCCGGTTACGGCCGTGATTGTGTTACAAATTGGTAAAAACTCAATTTCAGTTTCGCCTTTATTTACTTCAAAACCAATTAATGTAGTAAAATATATATAAAGTATTTTTTATCAAAATGCTTTCAGTAGATTTGATGTTTACCATACCTGGGCTTAGATGCATCTCGAAGAACTCTCATCTCACCTCAGTCTAAAAAGCCTTTAATCAAGTACGAGAAACTTTGTGTATGCTGAGAGATGTCTTACCTAGTCAATGACATCTTATGGTCCTAAGCTATATACATCATATGAATTTAGACAAATATAGGGAATAATAACTTTTTAACCTGATCATTAAAATATGGCTACATATTTAGCTAAATTTGTCAAAGTAGCTGATTAATATTGCCATTACAATCGTATTTCTTCCTAGAAGATGATGCTGAAAGTTCTGTTACCAATACAGTATCCAAAGAGAATACTGTATTAAAATATATTGCTGAGAACTTTTATCGGTAGAATATACTAAAAATAGTTCTCTTCTTACAATTGTTGTAGATATGTGTATTCACTATAAGAACCTATAAGTTGATAGATACGAAAAAGAAAGTTAGCATTAAATTTTTATTAAGATTAAGACAGTACATATTATATAGAAATTAAAGAGATCTTGTTTGAATCCCAACTGATCGCACACCTCATTTTGATTTTCTCAGATTATGCTCATATAGATGCTTACAATATACGAGAGTAGTCGGCTTAAAGCTGCAGCGCTGAGTTGTGAAAACACTCAATATCTTTCTAAAAAAAAATATGATCCATATTAAAGCTATAGAGATCTCAATAGATATTTGTAATGCATAAAACTCTTGAGTATTTTCTGATAATTGCCATATGAAAATCAAAAGAATAGTTCTAGCAGAAATTGGCAACATATCAACTTTATATAAAATTGCGGTAGCTAAACAGAGTGTCACTTTTTATACAGAGATTATGCAAATATGTATATAATTGCCTATTCGCTCCGCAGAAATTAAAAAAACCTGTTCACACAGCAAATCCTAATTTTGATTTAATTTTATTTCGCTCGTTTGTAAATGAAAAAGCCGTACATTGCAATAATAATTTCTTCTATTTTGTTTTAGCTAGCTCAATGAGAAAAATTGCAATCCAAATTATACCTACTTGTGCTGTGTGAAAAGGCTAGAAAGCAACTAAAGTAGTTAGTAAGCTTTCCAAAATATTTTCTGTAATAGTTTAAACATTTCAATTTCATATATATAATAGAGCACTATTAATTTCCAATGTAAATTCTCATTGAGTTATTTGTAGTTCAATATAATATATCATATTATATATAATATAGTTAATTAAAAATCTATTAATATTTTCTTAAATAAATATACTACTCATATCAGAGTGCTTGTGGTTCAAAATTACTCAGCTGTGTAGTACTTTCTCAGAACGTTGTGCAAATAAATTACAATTTATAAGTTTATTATTAATTGATAACTATAATCGTTTATGAAAACTATTTATATGAGTTGCAAAATGCTGTCTATGGTAGCAATTCTCATTATTTATATATGAATACGATAATGACTAAGCGATTTCAGTGTTTATTGAGTAGTCGAGCCCTTTCTAGTTAAAAATTCTGGGCACAATACATTACTGAAGTAATTTTCTATAATTTCAATTACTTTTGTATCAATTTGCATTCACTACAAATAAGACAAGTATGTGTAATTAAAGTTTAAATATTTAATATATGTACTTCATATATGTAAATAGAGACTACTATGTGATAGAACGAACTCAACTAATTTCTTGCACGCGCAGATAACAATTTTTATATACTTTATTTTTATATTTATTTTATATTTAATTTTAATTAAATTGTTATATGCAATTTTGTGTTATTTGGTGTGCGTTATATATTCAATCGAACTGCACTTGTAAATTGAACGTTGGACTTCAGATTTCGTTACTCTTGATTCGATTGCTATTTTTGCATTTATGAAATCATTTTCAATTTTTTTTTTACCTAAGAAATTTGTTCTTAGAATAAAATAACAACAAGAATTAGTAAATTTATTTTTTGTTTTTTTTTTTTAAATTATTGTATAATTTAATTTTTTATTTTAATGGATTAAATGTGTTTTTATTAAAAAAATAGCTAACATAAGAAGTAAATATTTTAACTACTAAAAAACAAATTTGATTAGAGAAAATAATATATTTTCTTACTAATATAAGTAATTGAGTTCTTATTAAAGCAGGTCTATTATGCATTTTATTCATACGCTCTTAAGATACATTTGTATGTAATGTAATACAGATACATATCTCTGACTTAAACAAAATAAATTTCGAAAATGCTTCCGTATACTATGTTAACATTGCTTACTTAGCAAGTTACTTAAGTAACTTTAAGATTTTGTCGTTTCCAGTGACATAAGTTACTTGTTGCATGTGAAAGAGCTTTCATGTGTCAGAAAGTTCTTTGAAAGTTCTAAGACAGCTTCCGTTTGCATAAATAAACTTCACTTAATAATATGTGACACAAAAAATTAAATATGTAATTGATATATCAAATATGTAATTGATGAATATCCATTACATATTCAATTAATAAAAATTTTATAGCTTTTATTAAATATTTACTTCGTCAGTGTGTTTCTTTACAACTCTGCTGTTGTTTGTTTACATTTTGCATATAAAACATATGAAAAATATTTTAAGTTTTGGTAATTTCCCCTGTGGCAAATTGATTTTAAAGGGTTGCATTCGACATTTTTGATCTAATTTTCTTACTTTGTTTGTAATAAATAAGTTAAAAAGCACGAAAGCTCTTTATATGGTTAACGAAATTTACTTAGTAAGTTACACTTACTAACTTACTTACTAGTAAGTTATACATACTTTCCACTGATTACTTAGTAAGTTATACTGACTAAGTAATCAGTGGAAACACCCTACACACTATTAGTCTATTCGTTTATTGATCATTAGAGGATGTTTTGAATTCAGATGTATTGTATACAGTATAAAATAATGTATATAATATTATAAACAAAATAAATTCCAAAAACGATTTCGTGGTCTATGCATTTCTGGAATTAATAACCGTCTATGCTTTTGACTTAAGCGAAATAAATTCAACAAATGATTTCTTGGTCTCTTCGTTTTTTGGACCAATTTTTATTTCTTGCATTTACGTAGTTCAATTCAGAAACTGCCTTTATAATAATATATGTATATGTGTGTTAATAGTTAAAATATGTCGATATAATTTACATCAAATATCGAGCTTTTGAAAACTTTTTATATTGATTGCCTACTAAACTATGCAATTTGGACTAAGCTGGACCAATTATTTGCAAACAATTGTGGTTTAATGTAGTAAAGTAATGATTAATATGAAAAATTTTGGCTTAATGCTAAAGTTTATGATAGTCATCTATCGTTTATAATAGTCGTCTATCGTTTATGATAGTCGTCTATCGTCTGTGATAGTCGTCAATCGTTTGTGATAGTTTGTAGATTATTTTAATAAACTGTGACTTAATGTGATAAATTCTCGCTTAATTGTTTGTTTTATGATAGTAATCTGTAGCTTAGGGTGGCAGTCTATGTAATATAGATATATTTTTATCATATTTATATATCCCTTTATTATATTGGTTCACTCAACTGTTTAAGAGAAATTGAAATACAAAATAGAGTATTAGAATGAAATAAATGTCTATAGCTTGAGTGCTTTGAAAATGTTTAAAATATTAAATTTTATAAACAATGATTACATGACATTGTAATTATAACGCATTGCTGTGTCAGTTTTTTTTCACAATCAGGCGTGGGTTATGATAGTCAAGTTCATAAGTCTGAACTGGACCTAAGAAAGAGAGGGTGTTCAAAGAAAATTTTCACAAATAAAGCGATTCATGCGTAAAAGCTAACATAAAAAAATGAGAGAACGATTCTTTAAAAAACCTCTGATGTGTTTATTTAAGATAAGTAGTTTTTGGTACACATTCTTCATATATCTAGTATATATATACATGTGCATATATGTTTATTAAATATCATAAAGTTAATTATTATATTAATATAAGAACAAGTAATGATAAGACATTATCAAAACTTTGCCATATTAAAATTTTTTTATTTATAAAGAAAACAAAATAATTAAGTACGTCAATAGCCTTGACAGACAGAGTCTGAGAAATCAACGATTATATATAATCTTTAATACGAGCCCCTACCCCTAGTGCCTATTTTAAAAGTGGATTTTTTACATTTTCTCTTTCAAAAAAAAAAATGCAAAGAATGCAATCGCATCACAAAACATATTTACATACATACTTAATTACAATTTTAATTTACAAAAAAAAAAAAATTATTTTCATTTCAGTTTCTTCCTCAATCAAAAGGGAAAATAATTCTCGTACTGCAATCGATCCACACTGATCTCGAAGCTGCGAACGTGTAAGAAAATACTCAAAGAAAAAATTAATTTAAAAGAAATAAAAAATAATAATATTTTTATTAAAAAAATAATTACAAAATATAAGAGAAGAAAACTCAAAACAGAAACAAAACAAAAAGAAGAAAAAAAGTTGTTTTCGGTTCCGTTTACATTTTATCTGCGGTGTGAAATCCAAAAAGTTGATTGCCAATCGTCGCTGAGTTGTAGTGCGGGAGACAGTCGTGTTTTAACATTTCGTGTTAGCGGACGTATTTTCTGGTAGCTAGAAAAGTCTATTGAGTATAAAATAGAAAATATTTTTTAATATATAAAAAAAATTATAAAAAGTGATAACGAAGATTTTGTGTTACATTTAAAAAAATAATATCATAAAAAAATTAAAATGCCATCAGCACGTCTAGTCACAATTCTTCCGAATCTCATTCGCATTACAAGTTCTGCACTTGTCAGTGGGAATGCTGCCAGTGTCCGCTTCATATCCACTAATAGAATTCAGGGAAATACAGCCGCTACTGCAGAATCGAAACTTAGCAACTCCGACAAATATTTACATTATTCCAACGACGAAGGTTACTATAAAACATCACCCTTTGAGTCTATCGAATCTATTAATATTCCATTGGATAAATATGTTTGGAGGGATTTTAAGAAGTGGGAAAATACTGTAGCAGCGGTAAGTTTAATTTTTTTTTTTTAATTATTTTTTTAATAATATCATATAAATTGTTATTACGACCAATATTTATTTAGTTTTTTTTATATTTTTTTAACGGGCTTTGGTCGTTTATTTAACACATAATTTATAAAAATGTTTTTTTTTTAAATGAAATAAAATATTACACTTTTTAAACTGTGTTAAATATTTAGTTATATTAATTTTTAAACAAAATTATTTTTATTACAAATATTTCGGTCTACAATCTTCATATAGTTACTGAAATTAATAATTATAATTATAATAATTAAATTATTTATTTAATATATATTTAATATTAATTTATTTATTATTTATTTAATTTAATAATTACAATTAAAATAATTATATTATTCTATTAAATAAATAAATAAATTGAATAAATTTAAATATTTAAATAAATTAAGTAATTATAATTATAATTTTATTCAAAAATTAAATATTTATATTTATGAAATATATATAATATATAAAAATTTTGTGTAATTTGTGAAAAGTGTTGTATTAAAAATATTTTAATTTAAATTAAGAATTTCCGCGTATTTAATTTAGTATTTATTTCGAAACTAATCATATATATATCGGAAAATTTATTTTATTATTTTTTTCTTTAAACATTAAATAATTAATCATATATGCAAATTATTTTTTAAACAGGAACGATGCTAAGTTTCATAAATATAAAAAAATAATTACATTTAATTAATAGTGTGTTGATATAATTATTTTTTTTGTGTTTTGATTTAAGAAAGATTACGTATTGATATAATAATTTATTAATTTTTTTAATGGATATGTTTTTCACAATATAAGTCTAAACTTTACAACAAGTTAATGCGATATAATTAATACTTTGTTGAAGAATTATTAAAAAATTAATAACCAATTTTCTAATTAAAATAAAAAAAAATCCGCTAGAGAGTTCCGATATATTTAAATTTATTTTGTAAAAATAAATGAAATGTCAAAGTGTAAAAAAATTACTAAAGTGAATATTGATTTTATTTTATTGGATTAAACGTTAATTTACTTTATTTCCCCAATTTAAAAATAGAATCCAATAAAAATTTTGTACACAGTCATTTGTTAAAATTTAATGTCCGAATTGCTGAATGAAATCATCATTAATGTTTGTTTAATACATCAACATGGATGGTTTACCAAGCATGTAGCCTACTCTGGAACTTTTATTGTTTGATCACTAATGGCGGTGCTTAATACAAGGTCCTCAAAGGAAACGAATGGTTGCGAGTCGTAACACAAGTGGTCTATAAGGCCTGCTCTATATAAGCGCTATTAGTGATATTATTTATATCACACAGTGCAGAGCCTGTGTGGTCTATAAGGCCTGCTCTATATAAACGCTATTAGTGATATTAATTATATCACACAGTGCAGAAATCTACTTATTTTTTATTGTGCCGTGGAGTGTCAGAGGGTGTTAAGGGTTAGTCATTGCACTAGCATTGGTCTGTGTAAGGTATTTATTTCTACTTTTAAGTATTAGTGTCTACTTATAGACTCTTGTAGCTCCAATTATTTCTATTTTATCAAATTTTCTCTATTTTTAACAATAAAAATTTAATTAAGCGTATCAAATGCTTAATTTAATATTTTAAAAATAGTACATTATAAAAATTCTTTATTAGATTTTTGCTTTGTACAACATAAAATTGAGTCGTTGAAAATTCAGAAATCTGCTATGTGATTTTGATAAGTGTTATCAGCCAGCATTTTATTAGAAAGCTCTACTTTATGCACAGTCACTCTCACCCATAAAATAATACAAAATTATTTGTGTTATCAAATAAAAGTGTTATAATTTGGTTTATTCTTTTATTGAGTTGGTTGAGCGGTCAAAGTTTATTGAGTTTATTTATTATTCGGTACTTGGAAGTAAATAAACAATATTGTAGGTTTTAAAAATTAGGTTAACTATATAAATTTGTTGTCCATATAAGTATTATTGTTCACAGTATACATGTATATATATCTATATATATAAGTCGATGTAATAGAGACTAATGGTTGAGTAGTAGTGATAGAAGCAATTCGATAAACAGACAAATATATGCACTTATGTCAATTTTACCTCCTAGATGGCGCATAACGCCTCTATTGTTAATTGAAATGAAATTTTATTGTGCAAATAGATAACGAAGATATTCTACACAAAATTCAAATCCTATCATTGCCATTTACCTATTTTACTCTTAGTTATAGCTAGCGCACTGGATTGCCAGTGTAGTATTTTGAGGCTTCTACCTCAAAGTCCGTCGAAGAATATTGCTATTTATCCTACTTGAAGTATATCTTTAATCACCAAACTCTACGTTTAATTAATGGTATTTTGGCACGATTACTATTTCTGGGATGTTTGATTTGATTTTGGGCATAATCGTCTGCTGATTAATTGTTCTGATTTACTTCCACCATCAACTCAGATATAACTTATTTAATTTACAATCATTTGTTGTTATTTAGTCTCCTTAATTTTCATTAACATCAAATCAAATTAGTTATATATTCAAACAAAAACTTTTTTTACAGTCTCCGCAATAAATTTTTTTACAGTATAAATGTTATTGCCGTCATTGACCATTGACCTATTTGACCTATATTGTATTTTAATTTCTATTGATATCAAAAAAAAATTTATTCTCAATTTCATTATTAAACTATAGCTGGTTGAATTATGACGTTTACTGATTAAACTTATTTAAACCCTTTGTGGGGATATAACCTGCAACTAAATAGAATGGCTATGAATTTGAAATTTACTTTAGAGGCTGCAATAATTGCTCGGAAACTATTCACAGTTGGTATAGTTTACATATGGTATGTATCCATCTATGGAGAATCCTGCTTCTTTTGCTTTCCCGAAGCGAACGTCGCCATGATGTAGAGTTGACTGCACCTAGAATATGCATGTAGAATATGCATCACTTATTTTCCTTAGTTTGCCACCAAATATTTATGGATACGAAGTTTTAAAACGAATGCCTTGAGATATATGGCATTCTTTAAAGAATGCAATAATATTATTATCTGTCTCTGTAATTTTGTTGGTCACTGTAATACATTTAAATATAAAAACGATATTGTCATGTGACTTATACCAAGTCTAATAACGTAAAGTCTACATTAATTCCACATTGAGAAATATAGCTTGCAAACCTATATACATCGTTGGTAAAATTATTCGAAATCCACACGAAGTGAAATATCTTGATATAACGATTGACGGAACGGTTCGTTGGGAAGAACATGAGCAGAAGAAGCAAGAAAAACTTGACTTAAAGCTAAACAAAATCAATTCAATCAATACAAAACACACTCCCTTTGTATACAGAAATTGTGAACCAAATTTTATTTAAGCGAAAATATAATAGTAATAAAGTCTCTCTTTTTTGTCTTCAACACACTCACATTATTCTCAGAATTAGCTATATCAGTCAGTGACATATCAGACCAATTATTGGCTGAATTTAAAATCTTAATATAGTAATATTGAAAGCATATATAAAATTATTAAATTAGCTTATGAAGAAAGATGGGCTTCAGATGTCTCAATTTATCTTTCCTTTAAGCCAAATTGAGAAACAATATATTTTGTAGATTTATTAAGTTGAAAACAGAATATTAAAGATACATCATCAATAAATCATGAGTTTTCAGTACAAGTGTTTTATTGGTCAACCGCAGCTTTCTAGATAAAGACACCAAAAACCTGGGAACTCTTTCTTATTTTTATTTTGGTTTGAGGTCAGAAGTAGAGATAGAAATGTTGTACTCTCTTTGTCTATAACATCTACTACTCGTTCACCATTTACTTTTTTTTATATCTATATTTCTGATTTAATGTCTAAAAATACTTCCCAATTTAAGGATATTTCCATGCTAATATAATAAGAGTATCCCAATAACACATAAGACCCTTGTATTCCTAAAATTTTGCTTCTAAATAGCATAATAGTTCTTTGTAATTATATATATGAACAAATAAAAATTATATGTATGGCAATAATATCACTATAAAGAGGAATACGTTAGAAGTATTGCAACATGCTCTATACTTTAAAATTAATATAAATTGATAAATAAAACTTTACTTCCATCTTTATCTCAGTAGCTTTAATATGTCGAGAAAAATAGTGCCTTGGAAAAAATTTAAATCATGAATTTTGTGTTAAATGCTTCACCATATTCACGCAAACGGTCATATAATCAATAGTCATGACAAGTTAATATACCTCTCCGTCATAATCATGAAGGCATGTTTTACAGACAGTTAAATTTTAATTGTCAGTTTCTTACTACTACTACATTTTACATACTTTAGGCGATGGGAAGAAGAAAATCGAATCCAAACAACAATGGGGCGACAAAAGGCAGAACTGACGTAGTTTAGAATTGGTAGAGAGATGCTTGAATAGACGCCAATTATTAATAAACCTGTAATTAAGACCGTTTAAGCTTTCATAATGTGCATTTATCAGATAAATCAATTTATGAGGAATTCTGGCTTTGTGTTTAACATTCCAAATGGATGAGGGAAGTATTTTTTTCATAAGTTTTCTTTTAATCTATGAATTATAGTTGAAAAAAATTGGTATACGTTTATTTGGTCAACCAATATGTGAGACTTGTTAATGTTGTTTAGGCGCTAACGATTTTCAGTGCAACTTATCTACCCTTCATGGACGATACTATTTGGAGTCGAATTAGTGTAGTTTAAGAAAGAAAGAATGATGAGGGTAGTATGGGCGGTAATGTAATATCTCCACTATTTTTGCACAGTAACAGGTCTTCTATTTTGGAATTTTTATAATTAAATGTTCTGCAGACTTCTCCAGAATCTTTAGAATCTAGACAAGAATCTTTAAGAATATGATTATCATACCAAATTGCTAGAGTTTTTCACCACGTTTAAACTTATTAGAATCTAGATAAGAATCTTTAAGAATATGATTATCATA